CTTTAAGACAGGATCTGCCCTATAGCTCCAGCTGGCCTGGAACTCACTATGCAGATCTCTCACAGAGATCTGCCTGCCTTTGCCTCTGCTGGGATTAAAGGCATGTTCTACTATGCCTGGAAAGGTTTTTTTTTGTTTTTTTGTTTTTTTTTCCTTTTAAGATACAAAGCAGAGCTAGAAGTTAGGGAATGTAGGTTTCAATCTTGTTCTAATATCAGACAAAACTGGCCTTGTGACTGTGTGTTCTTTGCATAAGTCAGTTCTCTCTGAGAGTCTCGGTTTCCTTTTTTTTAATAATATTTTGTTATTATTATTTTATGTGTATACATGTATTGCTTGCATGTATGTCATGCAATGCCCATGTAGGTCAGAAGAGGCTGTCAGATCCCCTGGAACTAGAGTTATGGACAGTTGTTAGCAGCCATGTGGGTGCTGGGATTCGAACCCAGGTCTTCTGAGAGAACAGACAGTGTTCTTAACCTCTGAGCCATCTCTCCAGCCCCTATTCATTATTCTTAACAAACTGAACTTGGCATAGTAGCAAGCAGAGGGGTCATTAAAAAAAAGGAGGCAACTATATAAATTATGCCACAAAGGATTATTTTTATTATTTTAGTGATTAGTAGGACAGAAGCAGTTACTAGCATCAGAAAGCACATGAAAAATAATTGAGATGGCTTTCTCAAGTCAAGAAGCAGCATCTCTCTGAAAACAAAAACAAAAATAGATGTCCAAAGAAATCTCATCATGTTTTAGAAACTTAACCAATAGAACTCAGATTAGTAAAGTCTTCTCATTTTGTACACGAGGAAACCAAACCCTCAAAAAGTGGAATATTTGGGTTGGCAAGCTGGCTCAGCAGGTAAAGGCATTTTGCATCAAATCTGAAGATCCAAGTTCAATACCTGGGACCCACAAGGTAGAAGGAGAGAACTGACTGCTGCGGGTTGTCCCCTGACACACACACACACACACACACACACACACACACACACACTAAATAGGTAAATAAATAAAACGTAATTAAATTAAAAAAAAAAAAACTATTTGATCTTTTTAAAAAAAGTGAACTATGGGCCGGGTATGGTGGTTCACGCCTTTAATCCCAGCAGTCAGGAGGCAGAGGCAAGTGGATCTCTGTGAGTTCAAGGCCAGGCTGGTCTACATAGTGAGTTCCAGGACAGCTGGGGCTACAGGGAGACCCTGTCTCCAAAAGACCAAAAAAAAAAAAAAAGTGAACTATCTGTTGTCCTGGTTCTCTTGTATAGGATCCAAACTCAGCCATCTAAATACTATATACTCTGTATGATATACTGTTCAGTCTCTTTAGAGTTTAATAACCAAAAGAGTGTCTGAAAATCAAAACCAAGTTCAAAATTTTTGGATTTTGTAATCCCGAGTTGTTTCTGGGATATTTTCTTTTCAAAGAACCACTATCAACTGGAAACTTACTTTCAGTCGAGAAAGTTGAATTTCTGAAAATTCTCTGACACCATTCACTAAGGGAACCAGACGATTATACAGAGCCTAAGAAAACAAAAACAAACCCCCCACAGAGCATAAGGGTCAACCAAGAGCTTAGATAATTCATAGCCTGACAAGTTCATTACATTTATAACCAAACAGGCTCTTTTAATATTTGAAGGCTAATGTAAACAATGTAGACTTAAATCTTGTCATTTAAATAAACTGAGTAAGGCTGAAATAATGTACATTACAAAGAATTTGAATAAATCTACTTCTTGATCTGCAGCCTTACAACTTGTCTGAATTGTTTTAAAGACCTGCTAGGGAACTACTTTAACTGAAAAAGTCAGAACGCTTATTGCATGCCCTCCATCTGAGAGAAATTAGCACTCAGAACTCTGTTCTTTTGGGTATCAGAGTTTGGGGACCTCATGCACATGAAGCCTAGCAAGGACCTCTAAACTCTTTAACACTGCATGGTTGTGACATGTAACCTCAGTTTTATAAAGATGCTGTGTCTGCTCATGGCAGTAGCTTAATGGTACAGCTCTTGAATAGCATGAAAAACATCCTGGGTTCAATCCCTACCATTGGAGGAAAGCAAACAAACAAGCAAAGTTGGCTGCTCAGTCTTCTTCAGTAAGGAGCAATAGATCTATGACCATAGTGAAGAGAACTGGTCTACCAATTAACATTTAAAACTGAAAAGACAACTCAAATGATTTGGCCCAATTGACATACCACAGTTCTTGAAACTATTTTATAGTGATCATAAACCCATTTGAGAATCTGTCCAAAGTATAGCTCTCTTCCTCAGGAAATAGGATATGGGTAAAATTACCAAATTTTGGCTAAAACCCAGAGAACTTAAATTACAGGCTCTAAAAGTCTTTCATGAACTCCTTAAGAACTCAGGAAATCCACAATAAGATCCTCAAGATGGCTAACCAGGGCCCTTTCTCACCTTGTCTGTTTGAGTATTTTCATGCAGAATCCTGGTGTCGATGGCAGCAGCCAGCAAGTTATTGGCAGCAGTGATGGCATGGATGTCCCCAGTTAGGTGAAGATTGAACTAGAAGTTAAAAGAACATCTCTCTATTTGTCTCAAGCAGCCATGGCAGTTTCTAAGGACTGCCTGAATTAATAAAACAATGTGTTACTTATATGCTGTTATCATGAGCTGAGTACACAAGATAAGCTAAATCAGAAAATCAATGTCAAGGTCTTTAACTTGACAATAAAGAATTCTCAAAGAGTCAGTGTCTCTCACCCCAGACTCGACTCTTCTCAGACACATTCCGATGAACTTAACAACTGGTTTCTTTATCTTGGTTTCTTCATTTTCAAATCATTTATACACATCACTTCATTATTTAGGAAATCATACTATATCAAATATACTTAGGAATGAGACAAGACTTAAGTATTAACAATGGAACAGTAGAAAACATTACTAAACCTAGGTTCTTATTTACACAGGAATATATTTGCAAAATCAACAAACATCATTTGAAACACTTCAAATTAAAAAAAATTAATTTTTGTTTATTCACATTTTATATCATGTATGTATATGACGTGAGGGGAACATGCATACACATATGTGTGTGGAAGTCAGGGTGAAGTTGATTTTCCTTTTCCACTTTTATGGGGTTCTTGGATTGAACTCAGGTTGTCGGGCTTGACTAGATAGCACCTTTACCTACTCAGCCATCTCACTTGTGCCTAGAACCTCTTTAAAAAAGTTACTATGGGGGCTTGGAGAGATGGCTTAGTGGTTAAGAGCACTAACTGCTCTTGCAGAGGACCGGGGTTTGATTCCCAGCACTTACAGGGCGGCTAACAATTGTCCGTAACTCCAGTTCCAGGGGATCTGATGCCCTCTTCTGACCTCTGTGGGCATTGTATGACATGGGTGCACTTACATATATGTAGGCAATACACTCATACACATAAAAAAAAGTTACTATGGGTAACTTCTCTAATCACAAATCTGAAATCCAAAGGGCTCCAAAATCTGAAAGATTTAACACCAACATGTTACCAGTGGAAAATAACAGTATTCAGTACACTTTTTAAAATATGGATCTCACCTCCACAATAACCCATTATGCATATTTTAAAAAATCTGTAATCTGAAACACTCTGCCAAACATTTCAGACAAGGGGTATTCAACTACAGTCTTCTTTGTACAGCCATGGTTTCTAGGGATGGCATAACCAAGTATCCATGGAAACCATTCTCAGCCTCCCAGGTCTAGATATTTAAATTGCTTTTAAAGTTTCACTTTTGCAAAAAAGTACTATAATTAGAAAAATACATACACAGAGATTTTTTTCTTTTTAAAAAATTAGTTGCCAATAAGCAATGTAATTCTAAGAGTTAAATGATCTTGAAAATATCACCAAATTGCTTTTCAAAAGGGATGAACTGACATCTGCAAAAGAGAGTAGACAAAAACTGAATGACTGGAAAAAACAGCATTCTAAGTTATAATTCTTTAATTTTTGGAAGGCTAAATACACATTTTCTTGTCAAAATAAAAACATATTTACTAAAGAAAAGTAGAAGACTATGTGTATATGTACATTTAAAAATATTTTATTTATTATTTTTATTTTATGTGTACGAGTGTATTGCCAGCATGTATGTGAGTGCACCCGTGTCGTGCAATACCACGGAGGTCAGAAGAGGGCTTTGGATTCCCCTGGAACTGGAGTTAAGGATGGTTTGTAGCCATCACGTGTGTGCTGGGAATTGAACTCGGGTCCTCTGTAAGAGCAGTCAATGCTCTTAACTGCATTTTTATGAAATATATTTGTAATTTTCAATATTGGGATCAGAGCACCATAGTTTATAGCTTAGCTTACATGCTGCACTTTTACATTATTAATTTTCAAAATACAGTTCACTTAATATTCTAAATTTAGATATTTAAGTTTCCCTCTAATCTTTAAATGTTATAAACTATGTGAAGGTAAATTTTTTAAAAAGTATTTTATTTTTATACGTATGAATGTATTATCTGCATACATGTAGGTGTTGTACAATGCCCAGAGGTCAGAAGAGGGCACTGGATTCCCCTGGAACTGGAGTCATGGATGGTTATTAGCTACCATGTTGAGGTGTTGGGACTTCAACCCAGATCCTTTACAAGAGCAACCAGCGTTTTTAACTGCTGAGTCATCTCTCCAGTCCCAAAGATAAAATTTTTAAATGAAATCTTTTCACATATAACTACTTCTTCCTTAGAAACTAAAAGTGAAACTATATCAGCCAAAGGTCAAGGTGGTTTCTAAGGCACCTGATAAATCCATGCTGTCTCTCCTTTGGGACAGCTTTATCTACACAATTTCCAGCAATGAGACTCATTGTATTTTAATCTCTGCTCAAACTTTGTATTATTATTATTATTTTGACAAAGTCAACTTTGTCCATTGGACAACTAAGATTGTCACTGATAGTGATTTTAACACAAATTTCTTTGGTTAATAGTGAGGATGAGCATTCACTGACTAGTCACTATTTTGTTTTTGATGTTTCTATGGAACCCTCTGACCATTTTATAATGGGATTTGGCTTCCGTTTCTGTCTACTTGATAACCTCTTGGATATCTCACAGGCTCAGAGATGACTCTTCCCTTTGGAACCATGACCTTTCACTGCACACCACGCTACCACAGAGCAGTGATCACATATGTCACCTTCTCTCTAGCTCTCATTTTCAATAAATGATTTTTTTCAACGAATGATTCCATTCCCTCAACCCAGCATCCTGGACATCATCCCAGCATGTGGTCTCACTCCACATCTAATTCTATAAATACCAACAAACAATCTTAAATTGTCAATCTTCTCTAGCCTCATTGGCTATCTTGGTCAGAGCCACTGCCATCTTCCCACTGGCCAATCCCTATGCCCAGTCTCCCCACTGGTCTCTACATGTGTATATGGGCTCTCAAAAGTCTATTCTTCATAGAGAGACCAGAGAAAAACTGGCTTGCATCCCATTACTGTCCTGTTAAGTTCCTTCAATTGCTGACTGTGACACTTCAAGTCAAATTTAATGTCTTGGCTATGAGGCTGGTGCCTGCCTGCCCCTCTGCCTTGGCTCCCCTTGCCTAACCTGCACTGGTCCTGGGTTCTAGCCACCCTCATTTGAGTTTTGTGGTCCCTGAACAGACAAAGGCCTTTGCTGTTTCAAGGTTTCCTCCCAGAGGCCCCCTGCTGGGAATGTCTTCTTTCATTCCTCACAAGGTTGCCTCCTGAGCACTCTTAAATCTAGTACCTTCAATTTCTCAGTCCGTCCAGAATTCATTCTAACATTTCTTCATACTATTTTTTAAAGTTTATTTATTATTTTTTAATATTTTATTATTTTTATGTGTATGTGTCTATTGCCTGCGTGCAAGTAAGTGTACCTGTGTCGTGCAATGCCCATGGAGGTCAGAAGAGGCTGTTGGATCCCCTGGAACTGGAGTTACGGACGGTTGTTACTGCCATGTGGGTGCTGGGATTTCAACCCTGGTCTTCTGCAAGAACAGCTAGAGTTCTTAACTGCTGAGCCATCTCTCTAGCCCCAAGTTTATTTATTTTTATGTGTTTTGATTGCATGTATGTAAGTATACCCATGTTGTGCAATGTCTGAGGAGGCCAGAGAGGGTGTCAAACCCCTGGATCTGTACTTAGCTGCCTTGTGGGTGCTGGGAACAAAACTTGAGTCCTCTGCAAGAGCAGCCAGTGCTCTTAACCACTGAACCATCTCTCTAGCCCTTCTCCATATGAGTTTTTATGAGTTCCTTCCAGTATACACTGTCTATGCATGACACTTAGTCAACAGTATTCACTAAGTTATCAGGTACTGTGCTGAGAGCTGGGAATGCAGAGATGGAGAAGATATGGAGGACAAACTGCCCACCTCTCTGTGCATGGTAAGGTAGTTTCCTTATTCTGTGTTATAGAGTTGACACCCCGTGTAGAGGAACACCAGTGTTCTTTCCATATTTATTAGCAAAATCCCAACCTGCTCCCTTGGCATTTTCCTGTTCTTTTTTCTAATCTGGCCTCCCGGACTTGGATCCTCCTGGAGAGTCAACGATCTGGACAAGAGGCTGGGGCTGTTGTTCTCTATAGAGAACAGTAGTGACTCAGCAGTGACTTTCTTACTCACCCCCAACACTTGCTGGCTATCCAGAGCTTCTCCTTAGCTTCCCTGACACTCAGACCTCCATAAACATTTCTAGCCTTCAGCACTAATAGATATTTCCTAGTGATCACTCACTTTGTATTGAGTGCTCTGCTAAGTGCTGGGGCCTAAAGTCTCAAGACAGATCTCCAAGGCACCATGGACAACTGAATCCCACAGCTGAAAAGAGTATGAGGGGGATTTCTAGAGTGGAGCAGAACCTGGAGAACACAACTCAGGCTGCTTAGTGAGGGCAGAGGAAGGGAAGAACATTCCATGCATGGGAAAGCTTTTAGAGTAAGGAGAAAAGAACTAAGAGTGCAGTTCAGTGGAAGTGTGTATGTGCTTAGCCTTTGTGAGACCTCACACCCCAGGACCCCCTCAATACGAGAAAACAGGACGGGAGCCTGTAAAGAACTTGATAAAGAGGGGACCCACAGACTAGAAAGTAGGAGCAAAGGCCTGACAACCTCTCAGGGCATGCATAGGTGACAGGTGACAGGTAGGACAGTAACTGGCTCAATCCAGAGCTTAGGGAAATCTCTCAGGACCTGACCTGTAAGGCTGATGCAGAGAGTGAGGTTGGAGAAACCGAGCATACAGATAAGAAGAGGTTAGCCAGGATGAAGGAAAAGTTCTCAGGGAAATAAGAATTGCTACCATCGACTCTTATTGCCCATTTTCTCTAAGACTATTTTATCTGTAGCTTTAATTGGCAAAATGAAGCATCCATGTCTTTCTGAATTTGACTGTCTAGCCAATAACTGATGAGACCCAGAACACCATCCTATTTGAAATTCGAATCCATAGGGGCTTGGGGATGCAGATTTCTTTGGAATTTAGAAAGGCAGTTAGATATACATATGAAGTTATTTAGAAGACACCCCATCCAGGGTCTAGGTCAGCACCCATTTGCTATAGGAAAATATATATTTAGCAAAACATGAATATTCATACCAAATAGCACACATACATCCACACACAGTCATCAGTGTCAGGTGTTTAGGGGTTTTGGATTGGGAATGAAGACTGGGAAGTACTGAGTATCCTACGGAGAAAATCAATAGGGTGGCCTGGTGACATGCCAGGAACTCTGCTTTAGGGAGGGGGGCCAAAGAAGGCCTCTGAGAGGCTGGGGGACCCTGAATCAGGTCTGGACTACACAGTTCTGAGCTCTCAGCTGTTAATGGGAACAGTCTCCCACCACAGGCATTCAGGGTCTTACCTCCTCCATGGGGATGACCTGGGCGTATCCACCACCTGCTGCTCCTCCTACACAACACAGTAAGTGCACTGAGGTGAGTACCACATACTGTTACAGGACAGACACAGACTTAGGGACAGAGCTGCTCACACCCAACAGGGAGGCCTGCTACAGTCCAATCGAAATCATGAAAGGAGCAGGCAGCAGCAGCCATGCTTGTACTGTTTATGCAGAACAGAAACCAGGGCAGCTTGCACTGTGCTCAGCAATGCCATTTGAGACTTCTGGTTCTTTGTTAAAAAGAGAACAAAGGTAAAGAGCTGGGCCTGGTGACACAGGCCTGTAATAACCAGCTACTAGGGAGGCCTGGGCAGGAGCATTGTGGGTTCAATGCTTATGGAGTGAGTTTAGGACAGTCTGAGCAACTTATTAAGGTCCTGTTTCAGGATAAAATGTAAAAAAAGGAATGGGGGTGTAGCTCAGGGTAGAGTGTTTGCCTAATATGCATGAGGTCCTAAATCTAGTCCCTAGCACCGCAAAAACAAATACCCCCCTGCCATGGGTAAAGACAATGTAGCAAACAGCATTACTATAAAACATATGTCTCAGGATACGAGATCATGATATTAATTCATCGTAGGATCTACGTGAATCTAAAGGATCTGCTTCATCTAAACCACATATGAAATATTTGTTACACCCAAACCCAAATCCAAATCAAACCAAAACAACACCTGCCAGTCTTTATGGTAAACTCAAGGAAGCAGAATCAGGATGATCACCACAAGTCCGAGGCCAATCTAGTCTGCATGTGAGACCATGCCTCAAAAATACCAAAACCCAAGCAGCCACCTGTGGAGCTGGGGATGTAGTTCAGTGGTTTGGTGCTTGCCTGGCATGCCCAAGGCCCTAGGTTCAATACTTAGCACCAGAAAAACAAAACAAAAACAAAATCCACACGTGAACACCTTAGACATACAAATTATAAACCTCAGCCAATTTATTCCAAGTTATTTATTCCTCAAAATATTAGTTACTGTATTAAAGAGACTCATCCCACACAAGCGTATATCACTTTACAGCACCCTCTGTCCTTTCTCATGTAAGTCTTCCAACGGCCTGATGAGTCTGGATTAGAAGCCATTTCACATTTACAGACGTGGCTCAGAGAGTTTAACACTGACTTATAAGCCATACCGTGATGAGAGACACAGTCATGAATAAAACCTTGGCCTTTCTGTACCAAGTCTAATGCTCACTCTGCTCCATAATGCGTGGCCTTCCACAAGGTATCAGTACTTAATGGGTTAGGAATTATTAATATTTGCAACGGTCATAAAAATATAATACAGTTAAAAACTACAAGCTGCCAAGAGCACACAGTAATTGCAGCAATAAGGGCCGAGGAGTGACTTCATGATAAATCAACAGAGCAGGGGTAATGCATGGGAAGGTGCCAGACATCAGGCCAGCCACGGCCAGGGAAGAATTTCCTCACAGCTCTGCACATGGCCAGAGTTCTTCGGGCCTCACACACAGCTCCCACAAACCGAGACCTGGGGCCCGACCTAAGGAGCCTCAAATGTTTACAGGAAAAGACCTTTCACCGTGGCTGGTTTGATAAAACACTGATAAGATGGGCAGAGTTTCAACATCTCTTGGCAAAGGAGACAAGGATGATACGGAAGATGCTGCTGGACGCAGGAGCAACAGTGCCAAGGGACTGGCTTTTCCCGGGGCTCCACGGAAGAACGCTCACCCCGCGGCAACCTCTGCATGCCTTTGAGCACCAGGAGGTTCAACTCGGGGTGACTTTATGTCCTAAGTGTACAGAGGGACCAAATAGCCAGCTCTTCTGCAAAGTTTTAACTTCATTTCTGTGGCTCATGCTCAGTGTGCATTTTTCTCACCCAAGTTTGCTTGGCAAACTAGACAAGTTGCTGAGTACTCTACCTTTCACTCCAAAAGTGGGTCCTTGGGAAGGCTGCCTCAAACAGGCGAAGGAGTTGACCTTGAGGTGGGCGGTTAGTGCCTGCACCAGTCCGATGGTCACTGTACTTTTCCCCTCTCCAAGGGGTGTGGGTGTGATCCTGATTTGGGATAGAGAAGTGAATTTAATCATATTTCCAGGAGAGCCTTGGCAAAACTAAGCTAAGATTCCATACCCAGAGCAGAGGATACTGGCAGTGTACAAAGCACTCCCAAATCCACTCAGTAACACAGTTTCTTGGACTATTCCCATGTACATACAGCACGCAGGCCACGTTAAAGTTAAAGTCAAGATAGAGACACAGAAAAGGAAAGACCACCAAACCGAAAAGGAAAGGTGCCAGGTAATAGTGCTAATACCCATTTCAGGAAGTGGCAGAGAACTCATTATTAAAATGAATGAGCTGGACATGGCACACACCTCTAATCTCAGCACTCAGGAGGCAGAAGCAGGTGGATTTCTGTGAAATCGAGTCCAGCCTGGTCTACACAGCAAGTTCCAGGGAGACCCTATCTTAAAAAAAACAAAACAAAACAAAAAAAACAAAACAAAAACAAAAACAAAAAAGTTTGTAACAACCAAGCTGGTATGATAACTTGAATTTGGTCTTTGCCTTCTGCAGCTATTTATTTGAGGTACAAACTGCACATGCGGTCTGGCTCAAGGGTTGTTGAGTGTATGAAGTAAGACCACATTCTCGGGACTAGAAGGCACCCTGAAGTCCCCATTCAGTCACATCCTTCTAGATGACCCTGTCCAGCACTGGTCCCCTGCCATATTGAATAGCTAGACTGGAGCTGGTTAGCTTGGGCTACATACTCATGCCCAGACAGTTTTTACTATTACTACTTCTTCTTTTGAGAGAGACATCTGAATTCCTGTTACTACCCATGTCTTCAAGACTTAGCAGATGTGCCCAATCTGCAGCCTATCGGTTGCATGTACCCTAGGATAGCCATGAATGCAGCCAACACAAATCAGCTGATTAAAAAAAAAAAATGATTTCTTTTTCGTTCCTTTGTAACTAGATGGTGTGCTTGTCAGGCATGAATTGTGTAGATGACAATGTCATCTCACAACGCCAAAAGGTTGGACACAGTGGGTCACTTTCCTCCCACTTTCAAATGCTGAGTAAGTAAATCCACGGAGGAGACCCCTGCCTGGCTAGCAGCTGTCTGTTCAGAACACTCCACAAAGACACATTTTTGCATGTTCATAATATCACAGTATTAGGTGACATTACCTTCCCAAGTAAGGTCCCATAATACTGTCCTTTAGCATTCTATAACCACCATTAAAATTCCTTAAATCTTCTCTTCTGTCCTTACAACTTGGTCTTTTATGCATTAGATTGTGTAAACCAGGATGTGCAGGATACTCAGCCACAATAAATCGAATGAGTTTTCTGACCTACATAACCTGGTGATGTGACTACAAAGAGGAAGGAGTGCCTTCAGATACATCATTGCCCCCAGCTAACTCAGAACACCCTTGAGACAAGATAACTCATTCATGCAGCAAGTATCTACTCAAGATTACCATGAGTCAGACACTCAGCTAGACCCTGGGACACAGAGATGATCAAGTCCATATCTCCCTTCAAGGGCTACTAGCTAAGGGGAAGTATGGGTAGCAGTGATTACAATGACTGATGAACACCAAGAAGGGGAAACAGGGCAGTCACACTGTATTATGAGCTTATAGAATGATATTGCACTAGATTTGGAATATCAAAGGCTTCCTGCAGGGCATTAACATCTAAACTTTGATCTGACTTGTGAATAAATATTACCTAGATAAAAATGCAGAATGGGCTGAGGGCAAGGCACTGTGTCTGCTTTCATCTGACTTCGCCAAGTTATTCCTCTAGATGAAAATTCAACCACAGCCAACAATGCAAAGCAGGAAACAGGCAAGATCACCCAGGGGGAGAGAGCACAGTAAGGAAATAGAGAGGGGGCGGAGAGATGGCTCAGTGGTTAAGAGCACTTACTGCTTTTACAGAGGACTGGAGTTCGGTTCCCAGAACCCATGTTGGGCAGTTCACAACTGTCTGCAATTCCAGCTATAGGAGATTCAGTGCCCTCTTTCTAGACTCCTTGGGCACATGTGCATTCTTGAGTTCATTTTCTCTCTCTCTCCTTCCTCTCTTCTCTCTTCTCTCCCCCCCCCCACCTCTATTAAAAAGAAAAGGGATAAGGCACAGTCAGGGACCAAAAGGAATCTAAGAAGTAAACACAGAGAAGAAAGCAGGCTCAGGAGGAGCCTAAGGAAGAACATGTTTAAAGATGAAGGGCCACTGAGGTTTGAGGCAGGATGAGGAACAATAAGAGTCAATGAATTTAGTGACAAGGAGGTCGTTGGTGACTACCACAGTAGGTGGTGCTGACGAGCCAATTAGATAGCACTTGTTAAAACACATGAAGATGGGGGCTGGAAGATGGCTTATCAGGCCCCTGTCCAACTGTCTAAACAGCACAGCATGGAGCAGAGTCAAAGACTCAACTACACAAAGCTGTGAGTCAACTTTCTACATTTGTAAATACAACACAAACAAAAGCAGCTAAGAACCCACAGGCATCACCATCTTACAAAAGCCTGTAAAGATGCTGTATCTATGGCTTGCACGGAATCAGAACTTTAACTGTCACATGAAGGATTCTGTTTTCTCCCAAGGATATGCTAGCAGAGCTGAAGGAGACAGCCAAAGGCAGACACGCCCAGTGATGACCTCCAGGCTCAGGCTAGCTACATCCAACGCTTAATTAGAAACACAGGACCGCTCAGCCTGCTGCCAATGAATACAGTTCAGGAAAATCAGAAAGTAGGAAGTATTTATTGGGAGCAATAAAAGGAAAGCTACAATAAAAACTTATTTCACCCCATTCCTGCATTCGAGATCAAAATTGGATTTAATTCTTTCCCCATATCTTTAACTCAAATTTCAAATTATCACTGATTTCAAAAGCAGTAAGCTCTGAGTTAATCTAGTTTCCTTTTCTATTTCTATGAAGGCTCTCACTTTATGGACATGAACTGTGAGCTTTGCTTAACTTCCTCAACGGCTCCACACACGCTCATGTATTCCTTCCCTGACATAAATCTCACAACATCTATTATGTGATTTTTATGACTTTTCAGATGACATTATAGCTCTGACAAGCCCACGAGCTTGCTAAGGTGAAGAAAATGCCCACATTTCTTGTATTCTCATCCCTGCCCAGGGCACAGATGAGTAAAAAGTACCTGACAATACCACCATGCCATTTCTTAGATAAGTACTGTTGACTGGTAATGATAGTAAAAATTTATCAAAGTATCCTGTGACAATATGAAAGAAGTTTATAATTTATACTTGAAAGCCAAAGAGATTTCTGATGCAGAGACAGGAGGTAAAACTTTGAATTATATTTTAAAATCTAGAATCTTGTTGAACAGTATTATTGGCTCCAGCCATGGATGGCCTAACCATGAACCCCAGAGTTACATGCTTGAAAAGCATATAAATATATATCATTCATCCTAGGCATCTTTATGATTTGGAAGGTTTTAAAAGCTCTTTACTATCTAACAATAAATGTGACAGTCTATTTGGTTGTGTTTCCTATTACAGCTGACCAATGTGAAGAGTTCAAAGGCTCTGTTGATACTGGTTTCTTCTAACAGACCGGTGTCCTAGTCTGCAAGTAGTGCAAACGAAAGAAAAACTCATAGAGGCTTAAACGGTGACTAGGACAGAAAGGCAAAATCCTAAGAAAAGTCAGTAAGGTTATTTTTACATTGCATCAAAATAATAGATTGAAACGTTAAAGAAATTCAAATTAGGCATTTCAAATTCTACAGAAAAACAAAAAGAAAAACAAAACTGACATGAAGGATCTTCATTTTCCTCCAATGTAGAATTCAGTCTATTCACATAGCAGTTTGGGCTTTTCGAATGGTTCTGTCCAACTAGTTCGGAGAAATTCTAGCGTCTTCTATAGGGAAGCTTAGTTGTGGTCCAACAGAGACCAAGCACACGTTCAAACGCCCTGCAGCTGCACTCCATGTCAAATCCTCACATGAAATTCCTTTTCATTAGTGTAACTGGGAAAATATGTAAAACTCAAGAGCCCCTAAGATTCTTCTGGCGTACTTCCCAAGCAATCCCAGTACTTTTCATTTTTGTCAGGCAAAGCAATAAAATGATGTGTAGGTGTAAATAGCATGCGATGTGCAGCTGATGAGACACAGATGATTCTGACAGAGGATAAAATCCTACAGTTTGAAGAATGGTTTTTAAAAAAAGGCTTAATCTGTTCTGGATTTGGGTTATTAACAATAGAATTTTTTAAAAATAAAAACCCCTCTCTTTTATATTTTAATTCCATTGTTGATAAATCTAAATCACATTTACACATGATTTGAATGTTCAGTAATAAATGTATGGTGATTTAAGCTTATTGGAAAATTTCTTAGGTTTCTGGATTCCTGCAAAGCATGGGAAAAGATTTATGTTCCAGACCTCAGAGAAAAGGGCAGGACACAGACTGGTATTCATAATATGATCTTAAGAGTATAAAAAAGATGGGTCTAAAGATAAAATTCTGGGAGGAAAGAGAAAAAATTTAACACTCCTGGGTAATGAGACAATTGGTTTTCTCCTTCTGACTTTTCTTTATGTTACATTTTATACAACAAGCCAATATTATTTTCTGAATAAAAAGACTTTTGGAAAAAGGAACAGTTCTCCTTTAAATGGAGGGGACATTCATATCTCTGAGGAATTTCCAATAGTACATGAAATAGTTGGTAAATTCATTTCCCTCTAGCTTTTCATCTGACCAAAAGTAAAAATAGGGAGGTGGTTTTTATGCAAACTTAGTTTTCATTTTAGATAACAACTATTTTGTCTGATCGTACTCACCTAGCTACCAAAAGTAGTCAATACAATTAAAAATATTTTATGCACTGGGCTGGAGAAATGGCTCAGCGGTTAAAAGCACTGGCTGGTCTTCCAGAGGACCTGAAACCAGTTCCCAGTACTCACGTCATACAGCACACAACTGCCTGTAACTCTAGCTCCAAGGTATCTGATGCCCTCATTTGGCCTCATCAGGC